GTGGGCCTCTCCGCGGGGCAACACCCCGCCACAGGCTGTGTTTTGGCAGCGCTGATCCAGGATCCGCAGGCCGCAGTCTCATCCCACGGGAAGGCGCCTAGTCCTGGAGCTCTCCTAGGCTCTCCTATGGCTGTCTAGGGAAAACATATCTGAGAATAAAACAGAGGCATTAACGGTTAAATGCGGAGGACACCGCGCGTAGTCTACACTTGACTATAAACCCGAAAGAATTAACCTAAAACACAGGCAAATCTTTTCTCAGCGGCCAGAGGAAGGCAGGTTGCCCCCCTGAAAAACCCTCCAGTCTAACTACAGTCCTCTAAGTAAAAAGTAACAATAAAAAGTTTTTTTGCCGCAAAGAACGGGACTGCTGCCGGGGAGAAAGCGATGGGGACAGAGAAGAGACTCGTCCTCCCTCAGCCCCGGCCGTCCCACCCCCATCAGCGGGTGCCGGGAACCTCGACGGAATGAGCCCCTCGCCCGCCGGGCCAAGTGCCGGCGATGCGCTGGGTACGGCGCCCCGAGGCGCCGGGGAAGGGCGCACACGAAGGAGCGCAGGTCGGTCCGCGGGACAGGCAGCCTCGCAGGGCGCAAACCCGACGCGGCCCCGCCGCATCCTTCTGAAAACAAATTTGGGAAAATCCCACTTCTTGCGCTCTGCGGAGAGCTGGGCGGCTACAGGCAAACCTCCAGGAAAGCGCAGTCTTTTCTCTCCTGAAAGTTTTTCTATAGCCCCTCAGAACTATGTAAAGCACAAGAAATGCTATTTTCACGCCCATGATGTGCACCAGTAGTACAAAGGGTTTGTAGCTATGTGAAAATTGCGTATACGTATTTGTAAGCACGAAAACACTCTCTGCACACGCACATACGTGTACAAATGTTATATTTGCAGAATATGTGTTTCAATAATATATCTACGTATATTTGTCTTTCACGTACACAGGCTAGCACAGTGGGGAATTGCATACTATTTTAGAGAAATATGGAGAAAAATATAAGACCGAAATTACTGGACATTTGTTATACTCTTTCTAGATATAAAACACATTATTGCTTTTCATATATAATATTTTATATGTGAGTTTCACAATGATGCTGTAGGAACACTTTACATAACATGGGCATGTTGTTTGCACATTATATATAAAAACTGTTGAAGTAAGTGAGGTCCACATCTTCATTCTTTATTCTGGAAAGCAGGCATGTACTTTCTGAGCCTGTCGATGAAGACAGCAGCTGCTTTTTTAGCACACATCGACCAGCCTCATATTTCCTACCTATCAACACACACCAAGGCGGCGCAGAACGTGAGAGAAGTGTAAGTTAGCATCAATCCTATCCCAGAAGTGAGGAGTGCGCTTTCTCTCTGTTTCTCCCTGTTTACAGTTCACTAGGATCCTCCTTGGTCTGTCCCCAGATAGGACAGAAACCCAAATATACTGAAGCATGTTCTTACTTTCTGATGGCTTGTCTCAGAGTTCGGGTATTCGCATTTTTTCTGGAGCTCTGTAGAAGTGGGAATACTTTTTTTTTTTTTTTTTTCCCAAAAAGTATTCCCCAAATCCATAGGCGGCGGGGGAGGCGGGGCTTGGGGTTTTGCTTGCCCACAAGTTCTGCAAAACGAGTTCAAGCAGTAATATCCCGAGAGGAAGGAAGAGGGTAGCAGGGAGAAGGCAGGTCTGTTGCAGGTGAGCATCACATCTATCCAAGGGCAAGGGGTCGTGCAAGATGGTCCCGATTTCTAGCCCCTTCAAGTAGCGCCCACAAAACGATCTGGAGCCGTTTGGATGGGCAGCTTTGAGGACACCCGTGTACTCACCCGAACCGTCCCGGCGTCGGCTGTCCCCGCTGCCACCCGACTCACCCCGTCCGAAGGGACAAGGCAGAGGAGAAGGCTGCTGCTCGGTGCCCAAAGCCAGGGTAGTCTGGGGTCCCGCTCCCGAGCGAACCCATCGGAATCACCTGGAAAAGGCGACACACACCGAGCGCAGTTTAACGGCTTTCCAGCAGTGACCCCAACTAAAAAACCCGGGCTGTGGAACGTAAACCCCCGGAGTGAGTTTTTTCTGCTGGAGTGGGCAGCGCTGCACCCCCTGCCCGGGGCGGCCGCTGCGGAGATGGCTCAACGGGGCTAACTTATCAATAAATTGTGTAGGTGTCTGTGTGTATTTCCTGCAGACAGATAGATGGCTATAAATGAAAAGGTTAAATGCCGCCAACTAGGCTGCAATGCGGCCTCGGAAGACGCCGCGAACGAGGATCCCCGTGCCGAGCCCCCCTTCCCCGCCCCAGCGGGGCAGTGCCGGGGACCCCTCCCGAACCCGCGCGGGGGCAGAGGGCTCCGCGGGTGCCGGGCAGGGAAGGGGGTTCCTCACCGCTCCGCGGGCTCCGGGCAGCCGGGCCCGGGACCCGCGCGCCGGGCGGCGGTTGCCAAATCTCCTACGTCCCTCGCCGCCGTCTTAAACATAAAAGCGGCGCCGCCGCGGCGGGGAGTGCTCCGCGAGGGGGGTGCAAATAATTATTATTAATGATATTAATATTACCGCTATATTCGGCGCGCCCATTGGCTGGCTAAGCTGCCTTCAGAGCTCGCCGCAGCCAATAGGAGAGCCGCGACCGCTCGTGGCCAACCCCCCTCCCGCTTCCTCCCCTCCTACCCTTCTCCCCCTC